GCAGGGCCATGGTCAGTGAGGGACGTCATGTCTCATAGTGGGGCTGGCCATGTGGTTCTCTCTATGGACTGGCTGCTCTAACTGGGATCATCGTCCTCAAGGCCTGGTGGGCCAGGTTGTGCTCCCCGTTCCCCCGCTACCCAAGGACATTTCAAGATCACACAGTTAGCAAGTGACTAAATGCAGGTCTGTGAACTTGCACTTCTGTTCTTGGCTACCCCAGAGTCCCAAGTGGAGGGTCCCAGTGGGCTTCCTCTGCCCAGTCAGGTGACTTTGGACAAAGCCCAGCCCTGCCCATTTTTAGGTCAGGCTTAGGGATACCTTCTCCCTGGCTTTCTCAGAGCGTTATAGTCAAAGGCGACAACCATTTGGACTGTTGGTAAAGTGCTTGGAAAGGTACTTGCACTGGCTTAGACTGGCTCACATTAGCTCAGGTCTCAGCGTATTCTTAGCATCTCCTTCCTTCTTCAGAAGGCACTTAGGGCAGCCTACAGATAGACATTCAGCATGGCGAGCTCATGTAAAGAAGTCCGCGAGCACGAGGGACAGATAAGGAAGCTGCGAAGGGACGGAACAAACCTGGAGAGGTGCCGAAGGGATTCGGCAAGAGTATTTTGGCTTTCTGTTAAGTATCTTCGGCATACACTGCGCACAATCTAAGCTTACATTTAAAACCCACATCAAAAGGTTCGTTTCCCACCCCACACACACACACACACACAAAAGAAAACCCTGAATATGTAAAGGGCACGAGGAGAGGAGAGGGAGGGAGACGGCTGCATCGTGGTCAGATGAGCTGTTCCCCACCATGGGAATGAATAGTCTAGACTGGCAGCCGCCGAACAAAATGGAAGGATACAAAGATGGATGTGCTGTCACGTGGCTGACACCTGAGGGCTGTACCGCCCGGCACCACCCAGCCAAGGGAGCTGGAAGAAGTGCCCGGTGCCCTGCTGAGTCAGCAAATGCTCTGGTCACTGGTGATGCCTTGCTTACCAATTTTTAAAGAAATTCCTATTAACCTGTCTGCGCAGTCTTGTGCAGCAGGGCACAGCATTTCAATATGTTCTGCTAGAGGAAGTTTAAAAGGAGACATGCAAAGACACTGCCTGTTGGGGAAGATGGAATGAGGGTGATGTGTCGAGGAGACTGCGCAGTTGGAACAGGAAGTAAGCTAGCAGGCCTCGACCCTGGGGACCCTGACCAACCTCCACCTCGGCCCGGTCCCGGCCCCGGATGCCTGAGTGTGGCAGCTGCCTGCCTCAATGTGTGTGTTTATTCATCTTGCCAGAGGTAACGGCACAAGTCTTTTCTCAGGGGATATTAGGAAGATTCAAGAAATGATCTATGTGAACTGCTTTCAACTCCCCCCCCACCCACCAAAAAGGGGAGGAAAATCAAGGTATTAATCATATTCATCCAGCCCAAGATTCTTTTGAATTATTCTCCGTGTAATCTGTATTTATGGATAGAAGCAGCCATGCCTTGGGAGCAGAGACCTCCAAATTCATAACTGTCAGAATCACAAACCATGGGCAAGGAATTAACAGCAGTAATTCTATTTTTCTTTTCCCCAAGCAGAGCCCTAGATGAAATTGAATTAGCAAGTGACTCTTTCGCTCCCTGGCTGCCCAGGCAGTGTTCAGTCACCAGGATGGGGGTTGTCTTTGCAGGTCTTGCGAACCCTGGGAGGTCAGTGTGGTGACTTTCTAAGGAGCAGGTTCTGCAAAGATGTCCTGCCAAAGCTAGCCAGCTCCCTAGTCACCCAGGCTCCCGTCAGTGCCAGAGCTGGCCCGGTCTACTCCCACACACTAGCCTTCAAGTTGCAACTGGCCGTCCTGCAGGGCCTGGGCCCCCTCTGCGAGAGCCTGGACCTAGGTAGGTGCCACACAGACCCTGGGCCCACACCACCTGCCGATCTCACCCCTGCCCTCACAGCCCTGCTCAGCCCTGCCCCTCTCCCCCCTCCCTCCTGGCCCTTGTCTCTAGTTGGGCTTTTGTGATCTGGTGACTGGATGGAGAGCCCAGGGTCTCCTGCAAAGTGGATCTGGCCTGCCTGGGAGTGCTTGGTTCCTGCTTGCCTGGGATGGAGCCAGAGGCAATGCCTCTTTTGTTCTCCTCTCTGCAGGTGAGGGTGACCTGAACAAAGTGGCGGGTGCCTGCTTGATTTACCTCAGCGCCAAACAGCCCGTGAAATTACAAGAGGCTGCCAGGAGGTAAGACTGCTCCATCACCCACATCTCTTTGCATTTGTTCTAAATTATAGATGATTTGCTAATGGCGAGCAGAGTGGAGGCGTCTCGGTGCTCTCCTCTCCTCTCCTGGCCAGGTTAAGATGATTTCTTTAGCTATGCCAACTCCAGAGGTGGCATTTTGACTGGATGCTTTTCCCTTTGCAAGTAACCTTTTCCATTACTGCAGTGTCAGCAACAATTCCAAAGGGGCCGACAGCCGGTGTGTGCTGGGGCAGGCCAGGCCGGTGGAGAGCAGGCCCCGGCAGGGTTGGGTCGGTGGATGGCTGGATGGCCCTGCCCCTCTCTACAAAGCAGAAGGAAGCATTGAGTTACTGCTCGGGCATACCACCACTTCTAGGAGCTTCCTGGCTGGGAGGCAGGAACCAACTGGGAGCCCTTGCAAATTAGATGCAAGGTTGGGTGTGTGTGTCTATAGGCGTAGCCATGCATTTTTTGAGACAGAGTACACAGAGAACCTAATTTTCATATGTATCTGGGACCTAAAGACAGCTAAGAACCACCGAACTCATGCCAGAAAGGGCCTTTTCTGCTTCCCAAACTGCAGCTCTTACTCCCAAGATCATGGCCGTGCCTGCACTTGTACAACATCTCAAGGAAGATGCATGCTTCGCTCCTTGCCCCTATGGGAGTCTGCCCCACTTAAGACGGAGCACAGCAGCTTTCCCCAGACGGAAGCCCCAAAGTGCCTGCTGGCCCTGTTGTCTCCAACCCTCCTCTCCGCTGGGAGCGGCCTGTGCCCCACACCGCCCTCCTCGGAGGCCTGTGCAGGCCAGCCTGGCCTGACCCTGCACCCAGCTCCTTCCTGTGGCTCCCTCCCCGTCTTCTAAAGGGATGAGCCACTCTCACTAAAATGAGAAGCCTGCCACTCCCTTGTAAGCCCTGCACTCCCACTGGTCCAGGGAGTGAGAAGAATCTCTTTTAGGATGGATTTATTGGCTTTTGCAATTTTGTACCCTTGATTTCCCCAGCTCCCTTTTCTTTCTGTGCCTCTCAGTCACACCTCGTAGGCCCAGGATCAGTTGTGGTTCTCAAACACTCCGGCACACCCCAGCAAGCTTCCTGTGCCCACAGTCGCATGCCATCGGGGCCTCCCCCAGGGGGGCCCTGGGCGAGTGGGCTATAACATGAAGCACAGCTCAGGAACACAAGAATGAGCCTTTGGGTGTCTGGCACAACTCAGATGCAAAGATCCAAATGTCCACACCCCTGGCCATCGTCCCTGCCCTGTCCCCACCCAGCTCTGCCCTGCCCCCTGCAAGTTCAGACCTATCCAGCAGGCTAATATTTCCAATTCATTATCTTTTCATTTCTAATTCTATCAATGCCGAAAGCAATTCAACGTGGAATTGTGCCTTGACCCTCCTGGCGTTGGTGGTCACAGCGCCTCTGGGAGAGGAAAGACCTCCAGGGCACTGAGCAGTGCCCCTGTGCCATCCTTTGGGGTAGAGTCAGGTGAGCTCCCACCAGAGCCCAGGGTGTGTGGGACAGGCTTCGCATCTACGTCATTCACAGACTGATTTCCAGGAAATATATCAGTGCTGCCCTTGATCAGCAGCTGATAGGGCTTCTTGGATGCAGGAATTACTAAGCTGGCTAGATGGGAGAAGAAGGTGGGGGTGGGGGCTGGGAGCCACCTCTCTGGGAGCCTTATGAGGGCATGCAGAATGGGAGGTGAGCAGCGAGGTGGGCTGGAAGTAGTTGTAGCTGCTGGTGGGCAGCGAGCCCCACTCTTGCCCATTGGTGGGTGATCCTGGTTGCTCCCCGCCCTTCCTCATCCCACTTC